TATATGACGTCAGTTGTTTCTATGGCTACAGAATGATGCCTTTGATCTTATGGCTTCCCTGGATACAAGCCAGTTAGAGCATGGCTTTTCAGGGAGTATCTAGCGTACACTGAAAATGATATTCACAGTCCCTCATGCATGGATGAACACTCAAATGATATTCATAATCCCTCAGGCTCCACCCTTGGGATATGAATATCCTTTTTGTGTACATTCCATGCCCTCGGGACTATAAATATCAATTTCAGTGTATACCTGATACTCCCTTGGAAGCCATGCTCTAACTAATATGTATTCATTCTTTATTTTACTATTTTATCTTCTTCAGATTGCCCATGATTCTAGGTATGTTTTGAGGATTGTTTTGTTGAATTTTAAAATATTGTAATTGTGGAATATTTTAAGGTGACTTAAAAATTAAAAACCAGATAATTTTTTGTTAATTATGAATGAAGTTAGTAATTCACATGTAAACTGTAAATTAAAAAGTCATAAAAACTTTAAAATTAAATATTAATGGTAGTAAAATATTCCACTTCTATGGTACATAGTGTTTCATTATAGCCTGTTGTTTAAGAAATTTCCATTGTTAGCATTATACATGTAGTTATAGCACATTTTGGGTCTACCTAATTTTGTATGAAGTTCAGTGCATGAGATTATTTTCATTTATTTGTAGCTGCTGGTACCATTGTTGCAGAGAAAGCAAAAGGCTACTATGTAACAATTAAACCAATGATATGGCCTCCGTATAAGTTTAGAATGTTACTGATTGGTGAAACCGGTTCTGGGAAAACTTCGTTTTTAAACCTTCTCTGTAACAGCAAGCTAATTGAGGAGTTGGGAACGCACATTGATGGAGCCAAACTTAGTCAGATCCAGCATTACCATGACTTGCAAATCGAAAATTCATCCACGCACCAAATGGAGAGTAAGACAAGTGACGCTAAGCATTACAAAGCTGAAATATGTAAGTTGAAGACCATGATAATTGATACGCCTGGGTTTGGAGATTCAAGGGGACTAAAAAAAGATGAAGAAAATGTCCAAAAAATTATTAATGCATTGAAGAAAGAAGATTATATCAATTGTGTTTGCCTTATTGTCAATTGTCGTGCAATGTCGGATGAGCACTAGTCTCAAATATGTCTTAAGTGAAATCAGCACAATTCTACCCAAAGAAGTTTTTGATAACATCATTGTAGTCTTCACAAATACTGCAGATCCTCTTGATTGCAATTTTGATCTGCATGAATTAGAAAGTCTCTTCGACAAAAAAGTTGATCATCATTTTTACATTGAAAACCCCTACTGCAGGATTGAGAAGGCCAAACAAAAAGCCACACAGCTTTCAAATGATCAGATTGCCAAGAGCTTAGAAAAGTCATTCTCAGACACAGCTGCAAGCCTCCACTCGATACATGACACGATCCAAGATTTCAAGGATGTTTATACTTTTCATTTCATAAAGCTTTATGAAAAAAAGAAAGAGATAGAAAAAAGTGTTATCAAAATTCTTGTTTCTTATAATGAGCAAAAGTTTATAGAAAAACAAATTAAAACTCAGGAAGAAGAAGTTGATGCTGCATTGAGGTCAGAGAGCCTTTATTCAGATTTCAAGACAATAAGAAAAGTGAAGGTACACAAAGTATGTGAAACACCCGACAAAAGTCGTAACACACTCTGTGGTGCACCAGGTTGCTACTCTAATTGCCATACACCATGTTCATGCCTTGCCAAATCATATGATCAGGAAGAATTTAAGAGCTGTGTATGCATGAATGGAACAGAAACATGTCAAAAATGTGGTCATAGCTATCGTTCTCACTACAATAATGAAATTAAATTTGAAAAAGTCACTGAAGAAAAGGAGTTCATTGATGAAACAATGAAGCTGAAATTTATACGAGCAACCAACATGAGAGAAATGGCTAATGTACTACGACAAGGGCTTCAGGAGAAAAGGGAGGACTTATTGCGTATCAAGAATAGCCTTTTGCAGGAGCTAAGTGACAAAATTACTGAATTCCAGCAACTTGGCATATCACAACAAAACTATGCAAAGGTCTTGGAGAAGCAATATGATGTAGTAAAGCTTCAAATTGAAAGTGCCATTGGAAATGAACGAGCTCAACTTAATGCCTTTAAAGATGAACTTGAGAAAAAACTTGAAGTTGTTATTACAGCTTTGAAGCAGCAGTCATTAAGTGATTAGATATTGCATTGAGTAATAACAATATTTTAGGCAGTTTATATTAGTTTGTTGTTTGTCATTAGTTTGTTCATTAGTTTGTTTGGTTGATTTTTGGTTTTTTACAATAAATTAATTGAGCTCAAATGCATTCTGCAGTTGCTTCTTTGGTGGAATCAGGAAACTTCATTCATCAGACTGTCACTTTTACCTTTTTCAAAAATACCTGTATAGTGCAGGTACAGGTTCAAGCAGCAATCAAGTCCATAGCCAGGGGATTCCACTCACGTGTTGTTTATTTGTACTGTATTTCTAATATTTCTTGGTAGGCACAGAGGGTGGGTTTGGTTATGCAAGACTAATTTAATGGTGTGTCTGTGTATGTGTGTATGTCTGTATTAGTCAAAATTATTGGAGGCTTTTGTCATTATTGTACATCGCCCTTAAGATTTCAAACTAAGGCATGATCACTGTATACATACTTATAGTTATAAGCTAGATCTGCTGATGAGTCTCAGGAAGCTGCCTTGAGACTAGCACTGTAATGATAGCCACGAGCTAATACTGGGTACAAAACACTTGAATTTAATTCCATTATTAACAACATGCAGGCATGGAGCAATTAAGTGTCACAATTATGCATAATGCATTATGGCAATAAGAGTAGCCTAAATAGACTGACTGGCATTAGCAAAATTTTTGGTTCACAGAAATATATGATATTTTAACAGCTGGCCATGCAACCATTTTGATATGCATTGACTTTAGGGCAGAGTTTGTTATGAGTAATTCAGTATATGTAATACACTGTAACTGGAGAATATGACAATAACTGTTTGCAAGTAACCATCTAAAATACCCAAAAATAGTAAAATATGCCTATGCTCTAAACCTATCAGTACAATTCATATCCTATTATAGCCTAACAAGGCTAGGATTGTTTGTAAAACAGGGCTAGC